TTTCTAGGCCGCCCGGTGAGTAAAAGCGCGCGAATTCAAACTTTTAAAATTTTTTCGCTCGTTTTCACTTTTTTTTCGGGTTTTTTCAAGAGTTTTCTAGGTTTTTGTCAATTTATCTTCCAGATACATCGGAAAATTCGATTTATTTTTATGCCAATCTACATGCATTTCTGCACATTTTGATGCAATAAAAAATTTCACCGTACACCACCTTTAAAGAAAATTCGAGAAGAATTTATCGGAAACCGCGAACTAGAAATTACAGAATCCGTATATAATTTTTGCCTCAACGGATAACCCCGAAGAAGCGGTTCCAAAAATTAAAGTTATTCAACACTCTCGTTTCGAAAGGTCGGAATCCATGCTAACCTTGGTTAACTGGGTTAAAACCGATGGGGGAGGCGAGCGGCGCGCCTATACCTTCCCCCGTGTACCGACATCTCCCGGGTTACGCCGCCCGCTATGTTTTGTGTGTGTCGCAGGCTCCGCCCACTTTTAGGGGTTGGGGAATGGGAAATAGGGCTACTTAGGGGTATTTCGGGCTATTTGCAGTCGGGAAAAAAGATTTTAGGCTCATTTTTCGAGGAGAATTCGAAAATTAAAGCAGAATTTCAGGTTTAGAAACGCATAATACCAGTTTTTGGCCATGAGAAGGAGAGAAAACGGAAATACGGTTATTTAGGGGGCATTTTAAATCAGGAAAAATGGATTTTTAGTCGCTTTTTGAGAAGAGAAATATTTAGAATTTCTCAAATAGATTTTTGAAATCTTGAAACTGGAATTTTCAAAATTCAAAAATTTTGATTTTTTTAAAATTCGAAATTTTCAGAATTTTAAAGTTTTTGGGATTTTTTTGGAATTTTCAGTTTTTGAAAATTTTGGAATTTCTGAAATTTGAATTTTTGAGACTTTTTGTAATTTTTCGAATTTTTTGGAATTTTGAAATTTTTGAAATATCTGGAGTTTTTAAATTTTTTGAAGCTATCAATCTTTTTCGGAATTTATCGATTTTTCGATTTTTAGAAGTGGCCGCGGCCGGCTTTTATTACGGCCGAACCGGCCGCGGCTTCTGAAAAACGTTTGATGAAGCCGCGGCCGGCCCAGGCTAGCCGTGCGGCTTTTCACGGATTTTAAAATAATTGTTTTGAAATTTTAAAATAAAATTTTTGAATTTTTTGGAATTTATCGACTTTTCGGATTTTGAAAGTTTTCTAAATTTTGGAATTTTTCGGAAATTCGAAATCTTAAGGATATAATTATTTTGAGTTTTAGGAATTCAAAAAATTTGAGAATTTCCGAAATTTTTGAATTTTTGGATTTTCGATTTTTTGAAGTTTCTAACAAAAATCTTGTGTATTTAATACAAAAAGAACAACTAAAGAACGCCAATCTTCATTTTAAAAGTGCAAGTCTATTTAAAAAAAAGATGACGTCTTCTAAATATTATCCAGCGTGTCTTCTGGAGCATAATCTTCGGCATTCTTCGAAGAAGACGTCGTGTCTCCACGATCTTCAGTGATCACCGATTCGTCGACTTCGTTGACTGTGTCAGCTCCACCGCCACGTTCCGCATCCTCACGATCCGACTTGTTTCCATTGTTGTTGTCCTCCAAGGTGCCACGATTCAGATTCCACTCGAATGGATCCGTCCTGGTAAATTTATCGATTTTTTGACAATTTTCGGAATTTAAGGAATTTGGAACTTTTGCAAATTTTGCAAATTTTAGAATTTTTTAATTTTTAGGATTTATGAAATTTTAAGATAAATTTTTGGAATTTATTGATTTTTAGGTTTTTCAGAGATTTCGAAATTTTGAATTTTCGGAATTTCTCAAAATTTTGAATTTTTAGGATTTTTGAAATTTCCGAATTTTTGGAATTTCTAAAATTTTTTGAATTTTTTGAAATTTATCGATTTTTAGGATATTGGGAGTTTCTGAAATTTTGGAATTTTTCGGAAAATTTGGAAATTCGAAATCTTATTTTAGATATTTTTGAAACTGTTGAATTTTAAAAATTTTCTAATAATTTTGAGTTTTTCAATTTTCGGAATTTCGAAATTTCAAAAAAAAAAAAATTCAAAAATCGAAATTTTCAAATTTTCAAAAAATTTCTAAAACTTTAAAATATCAAATTTTTTGGGATTTTGAATTTTTTGGAATATATCGATTTTGAGTGTTTTTTAAATTTCGGAACTTTTCAGAAATTTAGAAATTCAAGAATTCCAAATTTTTAAAAAATTCCTAAAAATCTAAAATTTCAAAAAATTTAGAATCTCAAAAATTTAAAAATTTCATATTTCCATATTTTGAATTTTCGAATTGTTTAATTTTTTTGAAAATATCGATTTTTTGAAATTTTGAAAATAGTGATTTTTGACATTTTGAAAATATCGATTTTTAAATTTTCGAATTTTTTGAAATTTTGAAATTTTTGAATCCTCTAAATCAGTCAAAAAAGAAGACCTACATCTTCACTCCCTTCGGCAAATCTGCCTTCAATTTTTCCATAAAAGTGGTATACGGTGGTGTGTCCTTATAGGTCATTTTTCGAAGTGTCCCAGCAATCTCCACAAACGATTTGGGGCAATTCTAAAAGAATTGTCAATAGAGCGCATTTGCAAACTTTAAAATTTTCAAAACCTTGCACAACTGAGCATCAGTTGTCTTCTCCTTCAGCCCCGCAGTCTCTTTTTTCGGTTTTCCCTTCCATGGAAGTGTCGAAGTGACCGTCTCGATCATAGCGTACAGTGCACCGTACAAGTCGTCGTGTCTGCCCTGAAAAAATTTGAAAAAAATGGCCTAGGCCCCCAATTTATTTAGATGTTGTCATGTTTCAAAGATAGACAGTTTATTTTGATTGGAATCGATATTAAACTATTGATTTAGCCAAAAACAAGCCTAATATCAACATTTTGAAAGATGACTGCAAGTGCGCTCCACTGGACTTAAGCTATAACTCGCTTAGTTTTGGACCTAGAAAGATGATTTTATTTGGAATCGATTTAAAACTACCTATTTAGTCGAAATCAAACCTAAAATCAAAATTTTCTATTTGAATGCTAATGCGCTCCACTGAACTTTTGTCATAACTCACTTAGTTTCACAGCTAGAGAGCTAATTTCTTATGGAATCAATTTAAAACTATCGATTTAGTAGAAATCAAACCTAAAATCAAAATTTTCTATTTGAATGCAAGTGCGCTCCACTGAACTTTTGTCAAAACTCACTTAGTTTTAAAGATAGACAGCTTATTTTGATTGGAATCGATTTAAAACTATCGACTTGGTCGAAATCAAGCATAAACTCAAAAACTTGAATAGTTGAATGCAAGTGCGCTTCACTGAACTTTTGTCATAACTCAGTTAGTTTCACAGCTAGAGAGCTAATTTTTTATGGAATCGCTTTAAAACTATTGATTTAGTCATAATGAAGAGAAAACTCAAAAACTTTAATAGTTGAATGCAAGTGCGCTCCACTGGACTTAAGCTATAACTCGCTTAGTTTTGGACCTAGAAAGATGATTCTAATGGAATCGA